TTAGAATGTTTAAACAATAAAATCTCTAAACTTCAAGATATTTATTTAACTAATGATAATTCAGATAAGAAGTCCGATAATGAAGCTAATGAATTTATTGATAATGAAGCTTCTTCAGAATTATTAATTATATATATTGATAATTTTTTTACAGCTAATCAAATTGAATGTTTTCATAAAATGTATGTGCTCTATCCAATGCATACAGTAATAGAAGATGAAAAAATTTGTGATAAGAGATTAGATAAGCAGGATGATAATACATTTTTGGCGAAGTAACAACAATTCATTTGTTATACCAAAAGATATCTTTCAAATATTAATCCTCAGGCAGCACTTTAAAGATTTCAAGAAATGAAAGCTTGATACAAGGTGAATCGAGTTTATGTTTTCTTAGAATAATTAATGCTAGTATGTATACTACAGAATTCAAAAATGAAACACCAAAAGCATATTTGACAATAAACTATAAATTTGAAGGTATCACAATTTGCTAAAAAGCTTGGTATATAATTTATGATATTCAAAAAAGATAATAGAAAGCTTTATGAATTCACTATCAAAATTTTGGTCTTAAACCAAAAATTCATGGTTTAACTAGACATGTTAGTAATCATGCAATTTCTTTTTCAACTATCTTAAAGATACTTAAATTTATTACAAATTTTGCCAATTAATATGGACTCCTATCGCCTGGTAAGCAATTAACAATTATCATAGTGCACAGACCATAACACCCTGCATATAAATATTACAGTATCAGTATTACAATTAGCGTTAGTTAGTATCATAGTACTTATTTTTTACTTACTTTTTACTAGTTGAGTATAAATTATCATAAGGCTTTAAAATCTAATAAAAACAAGCACTTATACAAGATACTAAAGATTTTATATTTAAATATATATATATATAATTAATAATTAACCTCACAATATAAGAAAAACTAATCTATAATAAATCTACTTGATATAAGAGTTATTAATAAACTCTCATATAAGAAAGTTTTGTAAATTTTTATTATCAACCTGATCACCTTTCTTATATCGAGTATTCTGGGTACTTTTCAATAAGGTATATTTTAGTTGTACTATATCTCTAAGATAATTAAATTTTTAGGGTGCAATTTTCAGAACAATACCTGTGAGATCATTTATTTACTTGCATACAAAAGTAAAAGGTCTTTGTACCAAATTTATAATAATTAAGAATATGATGAAATAAATAAAGTTAGTTTATCATGTTTTGAACATATTTGAAAGAGGTATTTTTCCAGAATTCAATTTATGATATTGCACAGTGACTTATGTATGCTCTGTAAAAAAAAATAATTTGGAGCAAAGTATTGGAATAGGGATGAAACATTACAAAAATAAATAAATAGACCTATTATTATAATTGGGCATGTTTAGAACACAAAAACTATAAGTAACAATTTGAATTTTATTAATTCTATACATTATATATATAATCTATAACCAGGATTCGCTTTACTTCACTAACAGTCATTTCACTAACAGCTAACATCATGCTACTAAAAATATACATATACTTGTAGCTAATCAAGTGCTAACTCTAACTCTATATTATATCAGCCAAATAAACTTTCAGTAAAATGATTATGGTGAAGTAAGTAGCACCTATATAACCAATTTATATTTATTATAAATTTTAGAGATTGTATTTCTAAATCTAAAAAACTTTAACTTCTTTAACTAATATTTCACGACCTGAGATTCCAAATTTAATCGATATTGAAAATCATATTTTATGGAATTTCGCAGAAAATATATATATTCTCTATTCTATACAACAAGAGGGTACTGTTTACTTTAAGTCACTTTATAAGGTTGAAGTATTCGGTATATATGAGGAAGCCATATCACGACAGGTAATTAATTGTATAGATAATTTTACAAGTACAGTCAGACCCTCTAAATATAACCTTCCTAAATACATGCCCTATGAAAAACCTTTCTAAATGCATATCTTTTCTTGGGCCTAACTAATATAATATAAATTTTTACTCCTTAAATGTAATACCTCTCTAAATACATGTTTAACTCAATTTTTATATATAGTCTCATTGCAATATATTTAGAGAAGTCTGACTGTATATTATTATTGCTTATTGATATATAAGGCATTAGACAAAATTAAATTTCAGTACGTCAGATAGCACATTTAGTGATCCTAACTAGTTAACTAAATAACTATATTATCCTTTTTTTGAATAACCTTAGTATTAGTTAATTAGTTAATCATTTAATAATTAGCTGATTAATATTTATATAGTTAGGATCACTAGGTATATTTTGAATGCTATAATTTAATAATGTGATTTTACAAACAAGTGTTTTGATTAATAATCTGACAAATTTGGATAGATCTGACAATTCAGATTAGAGTGGATATCCTTATTCTTTAATTTTAAATAAATAGATCCATAATGTATAATTAGATTATGAGTAATTATAAACTTCATTGTATTTATTTCTAATATGTCTTTTATGATAATTAATAATTGCATGATATAGTTAATGCTAAAACTAAAAACTGAAATATAGATATGAAGTAATTTAATTAGTGAAGATAACAATTGCAAGAAATAGCAGTTTAAACTAACCTTAGAGCATTAGTAAAAAATTTCAGAAAGGAAATTTTACCTATAACTAATAGACTAACTTCAACTTAATCCTAATGTTAAGTTGTCCTAATCCTAAAGTTTATTAAAAAATATTAAATTATATTATAAATAAAATTTGATTTTCATGATGAATCCAAATTTACTAATCAAATTGAATTTATTCAGATCTGAATTATCAACTAGATAGGTAAAAGAGAATTCGAATTTAATCCGAATAGCCTTTAACAAATAGAATTAAAACACTACATATCTGTTAAATCACATATCATACTTCACTAGCATTTGGCAAACTTTAGAGCCACTCTGGATTGAACTTAATTCAGATTGGGTAGCTTAAAAATATGGTTATAAATTTGGAGTAATCTGAAGCAGATCAGCTTGGAGTAAATTTAATAGAGTGGGTTAAAGATTAAATCAACCCAACCCATTAGCAACTCTATTTGAAGTATACTCTGTGCAAGATTACGATTTTATTTATTACAGTTTTGTGCAAGTTATATGAATTGACATTATATTTTAGGTAATAAATAATTCTTAGTAATCAATGAATTTATCAATTTGAAAGCTTTTATCAAATGATTCACATGATACCTTATATAAGATATATAGAATACTTGTTTATCTCATGCATAGTATATTTCTAATTTGAAGCATATATTAAGGGTGCTCTTAAGCACCTAAATTAATAGATTAGTGCTCAATTTTAATTAGTAGAAAATAATTTGGATAGTTATTTGAGCTTGTTATCGCAATGAAAAAAAAGATAGTTGAGACTATCATAGAGTTGTATTTATTAGCTAAAATTTAAAATCTGCATTTCCTACTGTGAACCTTCAGTAAAATTGCTATAAGGATATCTGATTAATTATAGTACTTGTACATGATCTCATTTACTGTTAGCCACTGCTTATAGTATCCAGAGTCTTATTCAAGAATTCTATTTTTAAAATTGAATAGTACTCGTAGATACTGTGTGAAGAACTGGGTACTATTTGTAGAAGGGTATACTATATTGGGGGGTATTATATGCAGAGGGTCTTATATAAAGATAATGACATGTTATATAGATATAAGAACGTATATAAATATCTAACTAAAAAAAACTAGCGCAGAAAAATCTGTGGTAAATAATGTAAAAACTTGCAATACCTTTTTTATTATAAGCACTATTTAAACTTGGATCTTTGGAATAATAAAATAAATCTCAAAAGAATATATTTGCGGAGGCCCTTAGTAAGAAATATACTTAGGCCTCCTTAAATCTTAGACATAATCAATTTGAAACTGAAAGAGAAAAATATGGGTAAAAACTTTTGGCAAAGTACCACCTTGGTATTTTTTGTTTTTAATAACTAGTTTTATGCTAAAATTTATTTTACTATTTTTAAGAGTGAAAACTTTGTATAGCACTGTTTAAACTTATTTGGTTCGTAGAAATAATCTATTTAAAAAGCATCTATGAAAGCTTTTTTATTTACATAACTGAACATTGAGAATAGCATCTTTAGCTTTGAAAGAAAACATGCACCTGTAGAAGCTCATTATAACAATAATAAAAAATTTTGACTTTTTAATTTTAGCAAAATTGACATAATTTTGAGGTAGAAAGCATTAGCAGAAACATCATTCTATTGTCTCTACATGCTTATCAATTAACCTACTTCCTATTTCCTGTTACTAGAATATCAAGTCCAACTCACAATTCTTATACTAAGAAAATCATAATTATCATTATGAAACTTCTAATTTACCATTAACTTATTCTTCATAACACTATTACGAGCAATTAGCATTAGATTATGCTTATTGAAGAACTTGTTGCATTAACTGATATTTTGTGAGATGTGAATTTATTAACACAGAAAAATTTAACTGATCAATTAAAAATATTTAGAATTGTAAGTTTAGTCCTAATATTATAAAATGATATAGTACAGCTTACCTTATCAGAATACCGATTTGGTTCTATTGGAGGGAAAGCCTTCTAACTTGATTACTGGTAATTCATTATTTTAAAAGAAAGAGATATGAAATATTTATAGATTTAAATATATTAGACCAATTAATGATAAATAATAAAAAGTCAAATCAACTAAATCATACTTTCCCTGGAAGTCATATTATAGTTGGAGACAATTCTGTGTTACTAGATATAACTTGCAGCTATATAAAAAAGATGCGAAATTTTTTAAGATAATCTCAGATACACGCTCAAATATACACTATATCTATAAAATATAGATCTTATAATTTTAGTAGCTCAAAAAAAAAAATGCCAAAGGGAAATTTTAATGCATATTGAGCAAGAAGCACACAAAAAATATATCAATAGTAGAATGCTCACGAGAAGTTAATGGTTGTGCTTTACCAGGAAAATGGACATAGTATTTGTGCAACAGCAAATAAGTATGAAATTGAGCCAAAACAGGTTTGAGATTAGAAGGAAAAAAAATATGACTTAATGCATGTAGCACCTTATATTCAATAGCTTAATATTGGGGCTTGACCCAAGTATCCACGACTTGAGGATGAACTTTTGGAGTGGTTTTGTGAATTAAGAAAGTAGCTTAAAATAGTAACCAGATATATGATCAGTGCAAAAGCTCGCAGTATTGCTAATAAACAAGAATATCATATCTTGTATCCTGATATATATAAATGTAAATTTTCTCATAAGTGGGTAGATGAGTTTATGTCCCACTATTCGTTAGTAAATCGCAGGCACACTACAGTTGCTCAATGATTGCCTGAAGAGTATATTGAAGAACAACAAAATTTTTTATTATACATTTATTTTAAGTGAACAGAATATAATTATCCTTTAAACTTAATGAGAAACATGGATGAAATGCCTATAGCCTTTAATATGCCAAATCAAACAACTATTGAGGAATTTGGAACCCAAACTATTTCAATTCTTATAACAGATTATGAGTATACCTGTTTTACAGTAACCCTTTCTTGTCTTGCAGATAGTACTAAACTTCTACTATTAATTATTTTTAAATTAGTAAATATGCTCTGAGAACAGTTTCCAGATAGTGTATATGTTCATGCAAATCCAAGTAGTTGGATGAATGAGAAGGAGATGATTTGGTAAGTAGAGAACATATGGCATCAACGGGTTAATTTGGGCTCAAATCTACGTTCACTCCTTATCCTTGATTCATTTACTGCTTATAGAATAGACCCTGTAAAGTATTATCTTAAGGAAAGAAATACAGATATCGCTATTATTCCTAGTAGGCTAACTTCATGTTTGCAACCATTGAATGTGTTTTTAAATAAAGCATTTAAGGCAAAGATTAGTTGTAAGAATTTAAGTGAATTTAGATCTTTTTTTATAAATTTTATACTGTATTGTTATTAGATCATACAAACTTAATAAATTGGTTTTCATAATATAAAATTTTTAAAAGTGATCTGGCAACCTAGCTTTTAATTTTATTTTCAAAAAATTTTATATATAAAAAACATATAAAATTTTTTATAGATTTTTTAAAAAAACTTACTCATATAGTAAGTATACTTGAAAGTTTTTTTAGAGTTTTGTAAATTTTGACCCAGCCAGGTTATAAAAGCTGATTTATTGAGTTTGTATGACCTTATACTAAAGTTAAGTTTTCAAAATTATATAATTTAGCACATGTGTATTATAACTAGTGATAGGCATAAATATATAAAGTTATACTCTTTCTCCATCACTAGTTGTGATGCACTTTTATCTGATCGACTAATCAGATTCAAGATTAGATATAATATCAATTCAAAAAAAAAAAATTCACATATTTATTCTAATATGAATTTTTTTTTTTAAATTGAATCTGGTATCATATCCTGATCTTAATTATTATAATTTTGGTTCTGAAATAATGCATTATTAGGTTTGGTTAGATTTTAAATTAATCTGTTCTTAGAGTCGCATAAATACAACCATATAAGACTAATAACCTTTATTTTTATTAACAGGTTTGGCATGCCTACAACCAATAGATGGATGAAGTTATAAAGAATACACACCATTGGGTAAAATTAAGTGACCATCATACTCACTAGTGACAGAATAGATCAAGAGAGCATGGGATGATATCGATCCTGCTATGATAAGATGATCTTTTAAATGCTATGGAGTCTCTACTGAAATGGATAGTTCTGAAGATAGTTCAATTTTCGATTTTGAGGTCTTGAGTAAAAAAAAAGAAGAATCAGTATCGAAGAAGAGGGTGAAAGTAACGAATTAGGTTCTGAAAACATAGAAGATGTGGAGGATAATGAAAGTAATAATGAGTGTGAATACTGTAAATACTATAA